TGATTCATCAAAATTACAAGATTTATATATTGATTTGGAGGTGTCAAACAATTACCACCAGATATCAGAAAGAAATTTTGAACACTCAGAATACTTCAAAGGCATCTCAAAATCCGGTGAATGTGATAAATAAAGCTACTTCTAATTTAGAGACCAAAATTAAGTCGAAAGTTGGAATAGCCAGTTTCTTTGATAGATTCCCCACATCACAGACAGTGAAGGCAACACAGCAAGACACTACATCATTACATTGTGATACATTATCATCACAATGTACATTATCATTACCCCAAAAACCTGAGCCAACATTGCCAAGTGATGAACCTTCATTATCAAAAGAATTTGACTCATTAGGGCAAAGTGAACCATTTTCAGAACATTGTCAACCAGAATCTATGGAATATTTTCTGTCTACAGAATCATCATCATCACAGAAGGCAGAGTCTCTCAAGCTGTATGAATCATCATCAACATTGCAGCAAAAGGCAGAGATTTCTAGGCTGTATGCATCATCATCATCATCGAAGAAAAATGTTTCTCCTCTTCAGAATGAACTAGAGAATCATCAACAGGGGGCCGAAACTATCCAAATTCCTCCCAACATTGATCACAGTGTGTTTGTGACTTTACCTCCAGAAATTCAAAATGAACTGATATCAGAATGGAAGGCTTCTAAAGATCATAATATTGCCGTGAATAAAAAGCCTAAAGCTAATACTTGTATTTTAGAATATTTTAATAAAAAGTAACAAAAATAACAAGTAATTGTAATTCATTTTCTTTTTCTGCCTTACTATTACATTAACCAAATCTGAATTTCAAATTTCCGTGCCTTTCTTGGATTTGAATGAAGCTGCACTTTGGAAAATGTTAAAATGGGTAAAGAAAACAATGATCAGACATCAAATTTATTTTGATCAAATAAACAGAAAAGTAGGACGTAAAACTCCATTCATTTCATTTCATTTGATCAAATAATTTATAAATATATGAATTATCACAAAAAGCAACACATTAGCACTGTTTAAACCATTTTTCTTTTCAATATTTGTACACGTTTTTTATAATCTGGAAACAGAAAAAGAAGTATTTTATTGAATGCTTCAAGGTA